GGAGTTGCAAATGAAGCCCGGGATTTGAATTTCCTGGGCTTCATTTGCATATTGCTGGGCGCCACCATTTTTAAATGTCCGCTAGTTCGGACTCCGTGCCCGCGGCTACACGCAGCACGAACTAGGTAGTTCGGATTAGGCTTCCTATTCCGAACTACCGTTACTCCTCGCAGATCCTCCATCACTATCCTCTACACTCCCCTCAGTCTTCCCCGCATCCCATTCCCCTGAACAACTAAATCTGCCTCCTATTCCCCTACTCTCCTCATCCACCTTTTAGAGACTCTGCTGCTCCTGTCCTATTTAGCACCCTGAATTATAGAGAGGCAGCCATTTTCCCTGTGAGCCTGGCGTCAAACTATTTGAAAAAAGTGGGAGGTGGCAGCCTACCTTATTAAGGGGGTTCCCTTCCACATACTTATATACTGTAAATGTCTTTGATAAATGGCTAAATAAATGTCTGTAACCGTCATTGATAAATGGCTAAATAAGAATGTGTAATACTACCATTATCAGGAGTTCTTCAGAAATAGCTTAGACATGGAAACGTAAATATCTCCATGTGTACTGAAACATTAAATTAATATCACAGAGCTATATTATGTGAATTTTTATTTCTTCAAGAAGTCATAACTTCTTTCATAAAAGAGGAAGTTATTTAATTCAGTTTGTGAAAGAAGCTTAACTCAGGATTTCCTGTATTCTTAAGTTATATAGGATGCCTGCAACCTTAGAAGCATCTTAAAATATTTTAGCAGGACATAGCATAGTGTAGGACTGGAAGGGACTCAATGGGGGACCTACTGGGTAAGCAGCAGTTTGGCAGAAAAAGACCTGAGGATTACAGTAGATGAGAAGCTGGATTTGAGTAAACAGTGTGCCCTTGTAGCCAACAAAGCTAACAGCATATTGGAGTGTATTGCTAGGAACATTACCAGCAGATCTAGGGAAGTGATTATTCCCCTTTATTCTGCACTGGTGAGGCCACATCTGGAGTATTGTGTCCAATTCTGGGCCCCCCATTACAGAAAGGATGTGGATGCATTGGACAAAGTCCAGTGGAGGGCAAAAAAATTATTAGGGACTCTCCTTCTGCTCCCGGTTCCCCCTGGCCCTCCTGCGTTCACCGGGTCGGCGATTCAAAATGGCACCCAAGATGGCAGCCGTCGACGGGAGCCTGATATGGCCAAAAAACCTAAGCTTGCTTCCTCCTTAAAGAGGCAGCTGTTTTAGCTCTCTCTGTTAAATGGGTCATGTTTTCTAGACCTTCAGTTGGTCCTCTGGACTTTCTCCAATTTGTCCACAACTTTTTGGGGTATCCAGAACCAGACACAATACTACAGTTGAGGCCTTATCAGTATGGAGCAGAATAAAAATTACTTCTCATGTCTTGTTTATAATACTGCTGCTGCTGCTTCCCAGAATATTAATTTTTTTGCAACATTGTTACACTGTTGACTCACTTTGCTTGTGATCCACTCTGACCCCTAGATCCCTTTCTGCAGAACTCTTTCTTTGGTAGTCATTTCCCACTGTATATGTGTGCAACTGATTTTTCCTTCCTAAAATGGAATACTCTCTATTTCACCCCATTGAATTTCATCCTATCTACTTGTTGAATTTTAATCATATGCTCCAAAGCACTTGCAACCCCTCCCAGCTTGGTATCAGCTGAAAACTTTCTAAATGTACGCTCTGTGCCATAATCTAAATAATTGATAAAGATATATTGAACAGAAATAGACCCCCAACTGATCCCTGCAGGACCCCCACTCTATGGCTACATCTAGACTGCATCCCCCTCTGTCGACAGAAGGATGCAAATCAAGCACATCAAAATTGCTAATGAAGCAGGGATTTAAATATCCCGCGCTTCATTACCATAAACGTGGCCACCGCTTTTTTTCAAAATGGAGCTTTTTCGAAAAAAAAAAAAAAAACCCAGCAGTCTAGACACGGATCTGTCGAAAATAAACCCTTTTTTGACAGATCCTGCATTCCTCAAAAAACGAGGTTTACAGGATCTGTCGAAAAAGGCTTTATTTTCGACAGATCTGCGTCTACAGACTGACAGTTTTTTTTCAAAAAAGCTCTGTGTTGAAAAAAAGCAGCGGCCATGTTTATGCTAATGAAGCATGGGATATTTAAATCCCTGCCTCATTAGTAATTTCCATGTGCCTAATCTACTTCTCTCTGTCGACAGAGGTGTAGTCTAGACATAGCCTATATGCCCTGCCAGCCTGATAACTGGATGACTGATAACTATTCCTGGAACAGTTTTACAACCAGTTATTTGCAGTGATGTAGGAACATTTTTAAAAGTGGGAGTGTTAAGCCCCTTTACCGCTATCCACCCCATCCCCCAGCTCTGTGACCAACAGCCAGAATCCTGGGTGCTGGGTTCTCAGCTGCTGCACTGCTGCTCCCCTGCACACAGAGCTCTAAGTAAGACCCCAGGATGCAGGACTATGCTAGGAGAACCAACAATCATCAGACGTCAGCAGAGCTCACAGCTGTCAGCCAAGAATTCCCAGACATGCTGCAGAATCTCCTGCACCTTTGATTATGGGTCACTTTATAGCAGTTTCCCCTAAATTGTATTTTGCTAATTTGTTTATGAGAAAGTCATGAGAGACAGTATCAAAACCCTTACTGAGGTCTAGATGTGCAAGGCTTCAGGAGAGACTGGTGAGAAGCAAGTCTGAGCATTAAAACAAAGATTAAAAGCCAAATTAACAATGTTGTATAAACTTTGTCTCTCCACTAGCCAGTTAAACACCTGTTTTTCAACTTTTCAAATACAGGAACAGGAGAACTAGCATGAGCAGCAGTACATTGAAATAAATGTCCTCTAAGCACTCTGATTTTTAAATTGCCAGAAAACTCAAGATGATCTATACAGCAAATGGATTGCACATCTGAGGGCACAATCAAGGTTTAGACTGGCACCTTTTGTCACAAAGCACCTTGACCAATACTAATTATTCTTGCCAGAAGCTGAAGTAATCACTGTACATGTGGGCTACGACTAGACTGGCACTATTTTCCAGAAATGCTTTTAACGGAAAAGTTTTCTGTTAAAAGCATTTTCGGAACAGAGTGTCTAGATTGGCACGGATGCTTTTCCACAAAAGCAGTTTTTGCGGAAAAGCGTCCGTGGCCAATCTAGACGCGCTTTTGCGCAAAAAATCCCCGATCGCCATTTTCACGATCGGGGCTCTTTTGCGGAAAACAAATCTCAGCTGTCTACACTGGCCCTTTTGCACAAAAGTTTTGTGCAAAAGGGACTTTTGCCCGAACGGGAGCAGCATAGTATTTCCGCAAAAAGCACTGATTTCTTACAGTAGGAAGTCAGTGCTTTTGCAGAAATTCAAGCGGCCAGTGTAGACAGCTGGCCTAGTGTGGCTATGTCTAGACTGGCATGATTTTCCAGAAATGCTTTTAACGGAAAAGATTTCCGTTAAAAGCATTTTCGGAAAAGAGCATCTAGTTTGGCATGAATGCTTTTCTGCAAAAGCACTTTTTGCGGAAAAGTGTCCCTGGCCAATCTAGACGCGCTTTTGCACAAAAAAGCCCCGATCGCCATTTTCACGATCGGGGCTCTTTTGCGGAAAACAAATCTCAGCTGTCTACACTGGCCCTTTTGCACAAAAGTTTTGTGCAAAAGGGACTTTTGCCCGAACGGGAGCAGCATAGTATTTCCGCAAAAAGCACTGATTTCTTACAGTAGGAAGTCAGTGCTTTTGCAGAAATTCAAGCAGCCAGTGTAGACTGCTGGCAAGTTTTTCCGGAAAAGCGGCTGATTTTCCAGAAAAACTGGCCAGTCTAGACACAGCTGTGGAGTGGGGATTGAAGCTGTGGCTGCTTATAATATGAGTATACTAGGAGAACTGACAATCTTCAGATGTTTCCTCTTTAACTCATTAGCAGCCTTAACTCATATGTGTTTATTATTGCACAGCATCTATTACATTGGAGCCCTGACCCTACCTGGGCCTTTGGGCACTTACTGCAGTATAAATACAATTATAATACAAAGAAATAATTTTATGTAGCATTTACAATTTAACATTTATCCAAAAGATGGTGGGGAGTCGGGACTTCCTCCTGTTTCTGGATGAATGGTGCCATGCCCAACTCCACTGACCTACATACCTTCTGTAGGAAATTCCCTCCCATCAACATAGGTAATGTCTACGCTGAAGCTCTACAACTGCACAGCTGTAGCATTTTAAGCATAGACAAACCCTCAGTAAATAGTTACAAAGCCAATGTGACTCCTGCAGTCTGGCTCTATAAAATGAAAACATCACTGCAGCATTCAATGTTTGGGGGGAAAAAAAGTACAAGCTCAGTCTGTTTAGCATTCTAACTTGGGAAACATGCAGGTGTAGTAAGATGAAGACCTAAAACATAAGCCAATGCAGCACAGGCCTGGTCTGAGGCCTAGCTAACAATGGACAAAACATGGCTAACATAAAGCAAAGCTAAGCTGTGAGCAAAAGACAAGCCCCAGCCCACAGAACTTAGCACAAACAGGGCTCAGAGTGCAAAACACTAATTGGTGCTAGGTACCATCTGCAGAACAATAATTGGTACTGGTCATAAGTGAAAAGCACACGGTATCACTAGCTCATTAAAAAAGACCTCGGTACCCAAGACCTGAGGTACAGGGTGATGGGTGGTATCTAAGTAACATCAGAGGGTGGCAACCTGATACGTCAGCAGTGAGGTGTGATTTGTTGTACCTGTCTCGGGGGCTTGACGACATCAGAGGGTGGCAACCCGATACATCAGCAGTGAGGTGTGATTTGTTTGTATCTGTATATAAAGTGGTGTCTTGGGGGGACAGTCTTTGTATGACCGGGGGGAGGGGGAGCAGGGGAAATTTCCCATTGATTGAGTCCTTCCATTGTGGCAAGTACATATGCGTAGTGGTTCAGTAGAGTCTACTGACAACTATTATTGTACTTTGCTTAACAAGAAAACTGGCCTGGCACCTTCGATCCTTATCTGGTTTGTGGTCTTTGTGGGCCTTCTCGGGGTCTGCTGTGGTCATTGGGCCCACATCATTGAGCACACACGCAAGCAGACTTCTGGTTATCATCCTCGATGGAGCCAGAGACCTGTAAGGACAACATGGCAATAAATCCACTTAACTACAGCAGGTTAGCCTGTATATAATGCAGTGAGGGTGATGCAAGGCTGTGAGAGAGGAACAACTGCAGTGCAGGGAAGGAAGTTAGGTTGCAAAAGCTTGATTACAAACACTTGAGAGAGAGGTCTTCCTGGTAAAAATGTACAAAGAAAGATAATGATCAACCACATCTGATAATAGACCTATAGAGTTAGTATCCTTTTTACTATTTGTTCACTCTTTTATCATCCATGGAAAATCAAAATGACACATCTAGTCTAAAATTAAAAAAACGACAACTATTCAAATTGTTTGCAAAAGCAGCCTAATGGAAAATGAAGAATAACTGAAGATTGGGGTAGGAAGAGACATCAGGGTCATCCAGTCCAACCCCCTACTCAAAACAGGGTCGACCCCAACTAAATCATCCCAGCCAGGCCTTGTCAAGCCAAGTCTTAACAACCACTAAGGATGGATCCTACCATCTTCCTAGGTAACCTATTCCACAGCTTCACCGCTTCCTAGTGAAATAGTTTTTCCTAATATCCAACCTAAATGTCTCCCACTGCAACTTGAGACCACTGCTTTTCATTCTGTCATCTGTCACCACTGAGAACAGCCTCTTTCCATCTTCTTTGGAACCTCCTTTCAGATAGCTGAAGGCTGCTATCAAATCCTCCCTCACTCCTCTGTTCTGCAGACTAAGGCTATGTCTACACTAGCAAGATTTGCTGATGAAAGTGGAGTCGACAGGCAGGAGTCACCAAAACTGGAAACCTATCAAACTGTTTTTTCTGGTATCCACTGTCAACAACCCGCAGCCACATATGCAGCTCCCTCGTCTACAAAAAGAGCAGAGCATTGGGGGCATGCATCCCACAGTGCCTTGTGTCACATTCACATGCTAAGCACTCTGGGAATGCTCAATGTAGCATTAGCCATGATGGGAACATGAAAAACATCCCATCAGTCATCTGTTTTCTTCCTAGACATGCCTGAGGTTTTCCGGATTTTGCACCAACGCAAGTAATCACAGCGAGAAAACATGGAACCCAGCCTTCTGGCCCTCTGTGTAGAAGACATCACGGATTGCAGCATACCTAATTATGGACCTACTAGCGGATGATGACTACAACTACAAATACTCATCAGATTCAGATTTATCAGAGTCAGATTCATCAAAATCCAATTCGAATGCATCAGAATTAGTGGCCAATGAATTTATATATAATTTTGTTATAGCAGACCTGATATACTCCTTGGATCATCACTTTTGGGCTAGGGAAACCAGCTCTGAGTGGTGGGACCAGACTGTCATGAAGATGTAGGATGAAAAGAAGTGGCTACAGAACTTTTGGATGTGTAAAGCAACCTCCATGAAGCTGTGTGCTGAGTTGGACCCTGAACTGTGGTGCAATGACACCCGAAAGAGAGTAGCTCTCTCATTAGAGAAGCGCTTGGTCACTGTTTTGTGGAAGCTGGCCACTCCAGATTGCTATTGTTCGGTTGCAAATCACTTGGAAGTAGGTAAGTCTACCATTGGGGCAATATTTATGTAAGTGTGCCAGGTAATCAATGACATTTTCCTGGACAGGATAGTGACTCTGGGAAGTGTGAATGACATAGTGGCTGGCTTATCTGAAAAGGGCTTTTGTAACTGTGGCGGGGCAATAAATGGGACACATGTCCCTATTATAGTGCCAGTCCCCCTTGCCTCAGAGTACATAAATCGGAAGGGTCACTTCTCCACAGTCCTTCCGGCACTTATGGATCACCTTGGGCATTTCACAGACAGAAATGTAGAGTGGCCTGGAAAGGTGCATGATGCATCTTCAGGAATCGTGGTCTGTACAGGAGGCTGCAGGCTGGTACTTTCTTTCTAGACCAGAAATTTGAAGTAGGGGATGTGGAAATGCTCATAATGATCTTAGGTGATGCAGCCTACCCCTTGCAGCCATGGCTCATGAAATCTTACACAGGGCACCTGGACAGCAGTAAGGAGCAGTTCAACAACAGGCTAAGCCGCTGCTGAATGATTGTTGAATGTGCCTTTGGCAGATTGAAAGGGAGATGGAGGCTGGACCTTTTGGAGGATCATCTCCCCAAGGTGGTGGCCACATGATGTTGCTTACGTAATTTCTCTGAGAGAAAGGGTAAAGTGATTCCCCTGGGATGGAGCACTGAGGCACAGGGTTTGGATTAACAGTTTGAACAGCCAGAGACACTCGAACTGTCAGAGGAGCACACAGGTTGTCTGTCAATATCAGGGAGGCGCTGAGGAACCTCTTTGACAATGAGGAGACCTGACATTTCTGTGTGTTGGGGTTGCAAGCGAGGCATTCAGGTCAGAGCATTTGCATGTGGGTTGTCTAACACAAAATAAAAACTCATGGAAACATGCAGGACATTTGTCTTTTAAAATCTCACAGCTGTGCTAACGTCCAGCTGTTATCATAGGGTTCACAGGGAGTGGAGTGTAAGGGTATGTCTACACTTGCTCCCTATCTCGAGACAGAGATGCAAATGTAGAGTACCGAAATTGCTAATGAAGTGCGGGATTTAAATATTCCACACTTAATTAGCATTATCGTGTCCGGCCGCCATTTAGAAATTGCATTATTGCGAAATAAAACGCCCCATGTAACAGCGTTATTTCGAGAGAAAACCCTTCTCTCGAAATAACTGTTAAACCTCATTGTACGACCAAACTGTGCTGCCTTGGTTCCGGCAGCATACCCTGAAGGCTGGTTTGGGAAACTGTTGTCCCAGGGGGTTGGACAAAGACAGCCCTGCCATGGAATCTCTGTGACAAAATTAACATGTACATCAGGCGAATATTCATCACCATTTGCCAGGAAGATTTTATTGCTAATCATACATGAATTGATACTGTGTTTGGCCACAGTGAAATGGTCGTCCCCTACTGTGCTACCTCTCCCCAACTACATAAACTGCCCTGCATGGCTGCTGCTCGCTCAGACCCCAACCCAGCCAGCCTGTACAGTGATTGCTCAGCAGGGAACAACCTCCATCCCGCCCTGAATGGCCGCAGCATCATCCCGCTCAGCCAACTTGCAAAACAATGTACCCTGCATCCCTCCCGTTGCTTCAACACATGGTGTTTCTTCCACAATGAGTTGCTGAGCGTCTTCACAAACATTTTTTGAGATCAATTTCTCACTGCTGGCCACACAGGTTACCACCAGATTGACTCTAATCCTCATCACTTAGCCCTCTTCAGTCTCTACAACAACTTGTGTCCATTGTGTATCTGGGACAAGTATTTCTGGCTCTTTTTTGAGAACTATCCATGGTGTCCTTGGGATGAATTCCATTCAGTTCTTTGTAAAACCGGCATGTTTTGAGTGTAGCACCAGACTGGCTACACTCTTTTTTTGCCTCTTTTGCCTTGTGCTAGGCCTGCTGAAGTTCCTTGATCTTAGCTCCACATTGTAAAGTATCTCGCTCATACCCCAAAGCACACAGGGCTCAAGAAATGCAACCGAACGTATTTCTCACGGGTCATTTGCAACTCCAGTTGCACTGATTCTTCACCCTACACACTAATTAGATCCAAAAGCCCACATTGTTCCAAACAGGCAAGAGTTTGGGTCTATAGCTGCCACCCCTGTTTCCTGAAGACACCATGAGAACCATCACACAATGTGCCAAGGACACAAGAAATGGATTTAAATTTCCCAGAGATTCCAGGTGGGAGGGGAGCATTTCTTTACCTGTAAACATTAAGTGGCTGAAGGGCAGCCGAGTTCAAGTTGATGTCCAGAGTGACTGAACAGGGAACTGTGGGATACATGGTGGAGTTCAATAAACTTGACAAAAAAATCTGTCGGCTGTATACTTCATGACTGTTGACACCGTTCGGGCAAAAATTTCTTGCAGCGGTGGACGTTTTCTGTTGTATCAAACTGCTGAAACTAGCAACATTTGTCGTGCTATAGAGTGGACACTCTGGAGTTTGTCATCATTCAAAAGCAGTTTTTGTTGATAGAATATGCAAATGCCGATAAGGGCTAAGTTAAGCCCAGTTCCCTGAGTCTCTCCTCATAAGCCCCCTAATTAGTTTTGTTATCCTCTGCTGGACTCTCTCCAACTTGTCCACGGCCTTTGTGTAGTGCAGCATTTTTCAAAGTGGGCCAGAGTGAACCATAGTTAGTGGAAACCGTGAGACTCCGTGGCTGCAGACACTTTAGATAAACAAAGCATTGTGGGCCTGCCAGAGGCACAATACTTCAGATGTGGCCTCACCAGTGCCGAACAGAGAAGTTGAAAAGGCAATAACCATTGCAGTATGGGTATGTCTACACTAGCCCCCTAGTTCGATGTAGGGAGGCTAATGAGGGCGACCAAAATTGCAAATGAAGTGTGGGATTTAAATATCCCCCGCTTCATTAGCAAGTTCCCGGTCGGTCATCATTTTAGAAATTGACTAGCCAGAAGTAACTGCCCGCGTCTACACGTGGCAGTGAAACGGGATTCCGAAATAAAGCCCTAAGTCGAATTAGCTGTTATTCCTCCTGCAATGAGGTTTACCAGCTACTTCGATTTATGTTTATACTATATAAATAATCAGTTAAAATAATGGTATTTTCATGTATTACCTCTTCAGTACATTTGCCGCAACCCCGTATTTAATCATCACAAAATACTGAATTATATTACACCTTCCTGTTATAGACCCTCATAGGAGGAATCATAGGTCTTGAGAAACACCTTTCCTACTTTTGAAACGTTGTTTCTTGTTCAAGGAAACCAAACTTTGAAAATGGGGATAAAAAGGAGCCTGCCAACAGAGCCCTTTGTAAAAGCCATGAACGTCCAATGGTTTTAATTAGTAAACAATAAAAAGATTACTAAAAGGAATATTTTATAATATAACTTGACTTTTTCTATCCTTATCCAGTCTCTTTTATTAAGCCCACTATCTGAAACTAGTATCATGAGCTTTCATAGGTAAAACCCACTTCATCA